CTAACAACTTGTCCCCACACAGCCCCACCTACAGTTAAGCCTTGCCCATAGTGAGAGTTGGGATGGCTGGTTCAGGTAAACTCTGCCCAGGAGCCCTGTGCACAGGTAGGTTCACTCCCATAGGGGAGGTGCCCCAGGGGTAGTGCACTGGAAGTTCATGAGCAGAGCCAGGCTCTGGTGGAAGGGATCAGTCATAGTAATGGTGGCTGTCTGTTGACACATCCGCATCCTGAGGTCCTTATTCCAGCCCCAGCAGTGTGTCACCCCCATTCCACGAAAGGGGACCATGAGGTGGCATCTCACCAGGAGCTCTCTACAGAAAGCTGGAGTCTAGTCCAAGCCCCATGTCAGGACCCCAAACTAATCAATGCTATGTGTTGTTTCTAGAGGAAGGCTGGGGGAGATCCAGGGTGAGATAATGTGAGAAAGATGGACAAACTGGGTCTGCATAAGGAGAGTCCTTATCTGGACATCATAGTGGCCCCGAGGCCGTGCTTTGGGGCATTTTTAGGTAAATACCAAGGCTATGGGCCTCTACCTACCTTTGTCTAGTCTCTGGAATTGCCCCAGATTTTCAGTTTTGTAGACTTGGACTAGCTAAAAACAGTCAAATGCAAGCACGGTCTGCCACCTTGAGGCCACAGTGGGCATGACAAGTAAGGGCTGCCTTCTTGCCACAAACCTTTCAAGGTCTCCAAAGGTGGGAGTTCTTTTGCTTGGAGCCGCCACCACCACCGCCACCACCACCGCCACCACCACCGCCACCACCACCACCGTCTTGCCAAGGCTGGCGGTGCTCCCATTTTCCCCGATGAATGATCCCGGACAGTCTTCTCCCTCTGGCCTCAGTTCCCCCAGGCTAAACAGTGGGTGGGCTGAGCCCTGTCTCCCTGCTTCTCCCCAGGAGTCTGGACCGCTTGGATTCCGTGGACATGCTGCTGCCTTCCAAGTGCCCCAGCTGGGAAGAGGACTACAACCCCATCAGTGACAGCCTCAACGACTCCAGCTGCATCAGCCAGGTAAGGGGGACTAGATCGGAGGGGGGGGGGCTTGGCACAGTGCTGTCCTCTGTCCAGAGTGCTGCGCTTAGGTCCCACCTCCAGTGTCTCAGGCTTGGCTCAAATGTCCCCTCCTCAGAGAGGCCCCTCCTGGTCACCCTGCATACAGTAGTCCTCCATGCTGTTCCTAGACCCTGCTTTCCAATGTCACTGCCTGGAATCGTATTAGAATCGTTTGCTGATTTATATGTCATTCTGCATCTTGAGACTAGGGGTCTCCTTGCATACTGTCTTGTTCCCTGTAGGTCCCCGTGACCTAGCCCAGCACCCAGTCAGGCAGAGGCTTACTGGGTGTTTTCTTAGTAGGCATGTCACGTCTTGCCTCACCCATCTCCCCGGCTCTCTTTTTTCTCAGTCTCCCTGTGTCTGCCCTCCCATTTCTCTTTCCCTCCTTCCCTCTCTTTCTTTCTCCCCTCCCTCCCTGCCTTTTCTGCCCTCCTTCACCACATCTTCCCTAGGGCTCCTGTGTGTCTCCATCTCCATGGTTCTGTTTTTCACATCCTCTTTCTCCAGCCCTGCCTGACTCCAGGTACCCAGAATACCTTTGCCCTTAGCTATAAAGAAAGATATTAGGAATCTGCTGTGTTGGGGGTTCCCACAGACTTTTACCCACTGTTCCTTGTCCAGCCCAGGCGCCTCTGACTTTTCCCTTCCCCAAAACTTCACCCCTAAAAGGTTGGGTGCCATAAGCTGCATGGATAGCCACAAAGTTACACACAGCCCAGAAAATGAAGGGCCTGGGTATCATCTCTGATCTGTGTTTCTGGTTGGGCTACCTGGGTAGACAATGTATCCATAGAAGAATGGAGAATGCACATCCTCATTTATGCTAGTCCCAGAAATGAGCTTCCCATTCCTGAGAAAGCCAAGCAAAACCTCTTTGAAACAGAATCCAGCTTGGGGTGGGGAGGAGTCCTAAGAAGCCCAGACCAGGCCTGGCCTTCCTGTAACCCACACCTCCTCTCTCCTACAGGTTTTTGGACAGGCTTCCCTGATCCCCCAGTTGTTTGGCCATGATCAACAGGTTAGTATGTTGCCATTCTCTTGCACCCCAAACCAGAGTGCAGGGTTGGTCTTATGCCTTCAGCTGAGTGGTCCTAGCACCCAGCCTGGATAGGTACAAGCAGAGCTGCTGTTAGGAAGCATCCCCAGGGAGGATGAAGTTAGTTGCACATTTGTGTCCTGACTCTGCACTCCCTGTGGCTTAGTTTGTTCTGAAAACCAGGACTGCATGAGCCAGGCTCTGTGGATGAACAGGAAGTCACTGCAGGGCAATGGAACTTCTCCCTAATGCCTTCTGCCTCCCCCTGAAGCCTGGGTCAGGCCAGGGACACTGGTGGTTCAGACGCTCCCTAGCCAGTTCCGTATCAGCTAGGTGGTGCCGCACTCACTCCTGGAGGCCCTCCCTCTGCCTCTCTCCCAAAACCTGGGTTAGATCAGGAAGACTTTTGTTTAGACAGGTTGGGGGCTGGGAGGCATTCTCTGCCAGGTCCCAGATCCCCCAGTTTTCCCCTTTCCAGAGCCCCAGCAGGACCTTTAAGGATATGGGGATGTTGAAGTGAACGTGGAGACTTTTCAGCTTGATAAAAGTTGGCAGATGGGATGCCAGTGTGGCTGTATCTGGCTGCCTGAATTGTACTTCCTATGGAGATATAATTTCGTGGAGGGTGTCCCTCTCCTCTCAGTCCCAAGGTCAGAAAAGGGGGGCAGGAAGTGCACTTGGAACTCTTTCGGCCTTTCATCTTAGCCAGGAGTGGGCTTGTCTCCCAGGGCACATACCCGTAGTGGCGAGGCTTGTGCTGGCTGTTTCCTGATTCCAGCCATGCATGGTGCGTGTGCTGTACTCTCCCCACATTGCAGGACACTAACATGCAAAGCCTACACATAGGAAGCATTCAGGGAGCCTCACACAGACTCCTTGACACCTCCGCGCAGTTCGGGAGCATCTGACTACACATTGATAAACACTTTGTTTGTTCATTCCACACAGCCACCTGAATTGTCCAGTGCATGTGACCAGCGACTCTTTCCTGGACGCTGCTCAGATAATGAGTTAGCTCGTGTAATCTTGGTTTTGTTGTTTTGAGACAGGGTCTCATATCCCAGACTAGCCTTAACCTTCCAATGTAGCCCACCTAGCCTTGGAATCCTGATCCCCCTGCCTTCACATCCCAAGGACTGAGATGGGCAGCCGAAGCCAACTGTCTTCTAGTCTTGACCATTCGCTTTCTGAGCTCTTCTGTTAGGGAGCAGCTCCAAAGCAAGACCTTGTTGCCCTGGGCAGTCACAGAGGCTCTCAAAATACCTGTTTGCAGCTTTGAAAGATAACCGATGCTTTAATGTCCTCTGTAGTGTATTTTGAGTATACCATGTGGCCTGATTTTAACTTAGCAGACTGTCCAATAGAACTTCCTGCAGTGGTGGCCAGTGTCCTACAATCCATGTTTGTCCATGTGGCTTTTGACCCAGTGAAATGTGGCTAGTATGGCTACCAAACTTTATTCAATTCTAACGGATTTAAACCTGAATGGCAGAGTCACATGTGGCTCACAGCTACCACACTGAACAGCACAGGTTCAGACCTTTTCAAACATCTTCCCAAACGTGTGAAGGGCCATCTAGGCATCTGACCTAAAGGATCCACGGACTGTTACCCCGGCCGTTTCATTTTGGGCAGACAAGGAGAGGGGAACTTAGCAGAGGGCTGACCCAACCCAGATCCATCTTTCCTCCACATGATACTCAGTCCACTGTGCCTCCTGCTGTAGCTACGGGCCCCTCGGGCTTCCACCTAGGGTCCATCTGTGGCCAGGGGACCCTTTAGCTTATGCTACATGGTCCCTAGCTACAACATAGCCTGAAATTGGAGTCAGTAAGCCCAACCCAGAATCTGCAGTGTTATGTGTGGTGAGGCCCCCCTGTGTCACACCCCTAGCTTCCAATTTCCAGGATCCTGGGTGGTCATCTCTGGAGGGAAGCTTAGGAACTGTGTGGATGAGCTAAAGTAAGTTTGGGGTGGCAAACATACCCAGAAACATTCTCCACATTGCCCTAGCAGACATCAGTGATCCTCACGGCCACTACCCTCATTCCAGTCTGTCTTCTTCCACAAGCTACTGAACCAGCTCGTCCTAGCCTCTGCTCCTCCAGACTGTCTCCCCACACCCCAGCATCCACTAGACTACCATGCCTTACATGCATAGCTGGAGTGCTGCTCGGCTCCTTCCTCACTAGGTACCCTCGACAAATATCTTCCTTTCACTGGCCCTTGAGGGTTGTTTGGTTTTTGTTTGGTTTTTGCTTATAGAAGTTAGCAGACCTTCCTTACAGTGGTAGATACCCACCACACCTAATAAGATCCCTATTCCAACATTCAGGGCAGGCATTACTAATGGATCGCAGCCTTCTTTCATGCTGAATTGAGGTGTGATCTTAAACTCTTTCAGTAGATTAGTACAGACAACAAGATTCAGTCTTGTTAGCATCCTGTAATATCCCAGCACTCTTCTCATTGTGGCTGGAGGAACTGAGGCCCACCGAGGTAAGAGGGGCTGTTTACTTAATTGCCTGCCTGTGCCCTGAGTGAGGTGGGAGGAGGAGAGACAGGCTAGGATCAGGCAGGAAAACCCTGCAGCCCCGAAGCTGAGTAGACCTCTGATGCCGCCTCTGTCTGGACAGGTCCGGGAGGCAGATCTGAGTGACCAGTACGAGGCAGCCTGTGAGTCAGCCTGCAGTGAAGCCGAGTCCACAGCGGCAGAGGCTCTTGATTTGCCACTGCCCAGCTACTTCCGCTCACGCAGCCACAGCTACCTGCGAGCCATCCAGGCGGGCTGCTCGCAGGAGGAGGACAGTGTCTCCCTGCAGTCCCTCTCCCCACCGCCCAGCACCGGCAGCCTCAGCAACAGTCGCACGCTTCCAAGTGAGTACCGGAATGCAGGAGGGTTGGGGTTTTCGTTCCGTTTTGTATTGTTTACAAGGAGAACATGGGAACTGTTCCAGGGGGCAGCCTGGGGGGATGCTGGGGAGGAACCCATAGGTCACCACAGAAAGAATGGTGGAGAACGAAAAGGTGGCCTTGACGCTGAACTTCCCACTGGCAAACTGAAACCTAAACAGGTGGCAGAAACAGACTGTCCAATGGGCAGATGATGGGGAAGTCTGGAACCCTGGGATCCCTGGCTGCTTTCTGCAGAGACAGCCTCCTGCTGGTAGGCGGGATTTACTAAAAGGAAAACACCACTTCGGATTAGCTGTAGACAAACCTGTAGGAAGGGCAGGAAACTTCAGGGAAGACAAGAAGAGTGTAATGAAGGGTTAAATCTGCTCCCAGCCTTCCCAGTGGGGTGAGTTTATCCCTCATATTCACAGTCAGGATGGCCTGGCCTTCCTCAGATTGTTTGGACTTCTCTAAAGATGAGAGCACTAGGTAGTCAGACCAAGGGAAAACATAGTACAAAGTCTGGGTTAGACAACCTTGAGTTTCCTTTTCTAGTCCTTCTTCCCAGACCCCATTTCCCCATCTCTAAGGCAGCCCCTAGAGTCCCGGGTGCTGAAGACTGTGCAGGAGGCTCCCCTGCCATACTCTCACATGCACAGATCCCAACTCAACACCATCTGCTGTGATGTGACAGATAGTGTTGTCATAGCTGCGTCTCAGCCTCAACTTTGACCTAGTGTGATAATGGAGGGCAATGGGGTTGAACTGAGTAAGAAAAGATGGCTCCTTCAAGTGCTCAGCTGGTGTGTGGTGTCACAGAGATGTACACAGGTAACCAACATACTGATTCAATGAACTGGTCTCTCCAGGGAGCAGAGCAGAAGAGTGGTCCCATTTCACTGCCATCCCCTCCCCAGACCTCCCCTCCTCTCCCCAGACCTCCCCTCCCCTCCCCAGACTTCCCTCCCCTCCCCAGACCTCCCCTCCCCTCCCCAGACCTCCCCTCCCCTCCCCAGACCTCCCATCCTGCCCCTAGTGGATATGCAAGGGCAGACAGATCCCTAAACTCTGCCCACCTGCAGACCTGAAGGAAGAGCCTTGTTTTTATGTTAAGAGTCCAGTCTACTGCAGTCTCAGGACTGCAGACCAGTCTGCCCCGCTCTCAGGTCGCTGTGCCAGGCTCCTGCTACCCCTGGAGAACCTTGGTGGGGAGCTAGGTGTCGTGGTCGGTGTCTCCCCCGATCTTGTTCACTGCTGTTCTTTCTGGTTCTTCTGGTTCTGGGACTCCAAACAACTGAAGCCACAGGGCGGTGTGGCTCTGATTTTTTGTCCTGTCTGGAAGGGGCTTCCTGGTACCTTCTTTCTGGGCATGGGCAATGCTGCTTCCTACCCCCCTCAGCTTCTGCATCTGGTGGTCCTTCATCTCCACTCAGCCTTTTTGCTGGGCAGTTTGCCCTAGGACAGAGCCCTCTGAAGACAACTGCAGCTCCACTCCCACCCCATGACCTTTAACCTGTGTGAAAAGCAGCACAGTGCCTCCTAAAACGTGGAGTATGGAGAAGGAAGGCTCCGCGAGTGCCTTCCTTCTAGACCAGCTGTCGTGGGAGCTGACCAGCTCCTCCACTTTCCAAGGCTCCAGGCTGGGGTGGGGACTGCCATTCTATGGCTTTGGAATTCTTGAATTTGGAATTCAGACAGCTCTGCCAGGCTGTCCTAGAACTCTGCTGCAGTCCCGTGGAAGTTTCAGGTAAAGATCCCATTCTCTACATTCTCATGCCCCTGAGAAGTTCTTAAAGAATGAGATGGGCTTAGAAGGACACAAAGCATCCACAGAAATTCACTGCAGATAAACCCTCACTCACCAATTTCCTCCAACCCCCGTTACTCATGAGTGAACAGCCTGAAGATTCACGATAAGCTGTGCATCCCAGAAGCAGGCGGGGCCCTCAATGACTTAGCTCTCGCCTCAATAACACTACACAGCAAACATAATACAGCAATGGACATTCCCATGTTTGTCAGTCTTCCATTCCTCTCCTGAGACTCCAGGTCCTCCTGGGATCAGTGGTCTAGCCAGGACGTGTTCATCTCCTGAAGAGGGCAGAAGGCAGGCGAGCAACAGTCCCAGCACATGCGAGGTTCAACATGAGCAAACCTCCATTGGCTAAAGCACATAACTGAGCTCTCAGTCGAGGGTGAGGACCTTCTCATTAGTGCAGAGAAGACTGTCCCGATGGCAAAGGGTGTGAATACAGCGAGGGCGAAGAATGGGTGGCAGTATTTCAGTCTGCTGTATCCCACACCCGAATCCATGCCTCTCTCAGAGAAAACACTTACCTACCCAAGATCTCCCAACTTCATACAGCCAGTGTCGATCCATGACTTGTGCCACAGCTGCTGTAGGTCCCCTTGACCCATCGCCTGTGATCTAAACACCCGTTACCCTCCCTGTGGCCAACACCCTCTTCCCCCAGTGAAAACTTGACTTAGCAAAATACGGACAAGACAACTGCCACTTATACTCTGTTCAAAAACGAGAGGCCAGGGATTCAGGGACTTACTGACTCAGGGTGATTCTGAAATCCTTTTGGACAACCTCATGAGCACATCCTTTGAGAAAGGTGAATATATTCCTGAAGATTTCCTACACTGAGTTCATCTTTATCAACTCTGGGCTTCAGCCTGCTTCCTCCTTAGGACAGTAGAAGGGTACATCTACTTTAGCCAAAGCTGACTGGCCTAGCTCAAACACATTTAATTTACTCAATTTAATTTCATGTAACTCTTTATGCCAAAGTCATATCCACAGCCACTTTTGATTTGGGCCTCTCTTTACCTAATTATTCCTACTTTGGGCATGTCAGGCTTCTGTGGGACCACACCACTGAGATTCCTGACAGCTCCTTTGACCACCTGAGAAGTACATATGTGTGTGTGCGTGTGCCTGTGCCTGCTTTCTGTATGTGCACTACATGCATGCAGGTGCCCATGGAGGCCAGAAGAGTCTGTTGGATCCCCTGAAACTGGAGTTACAGCCAGCTGTGAGGTACCAATGTGGACACTGGGAAACAAACCCCATCCTCTGTAAGAATAGCAAGTGCTTTTTTTTTTTGAGATAGGGTCTCACTATGTAGCTCTGACTAGTCTGGAACTCCCTATATAGAGCAGACTGGCCTTGAACTCACAGAAATCAGCCTGCCTCTGTCCCTCAGTGCTGAGATTAAAGGCCTGCACCATTGCACTCAGCCTGTGTGGTATTTTAACAGGTAGTGACTTTGGTTTGATCTTTATCCCAGGCTTTATCTTAATTTGAGAATGATCTACTGGCTGGAGGCTGAAGTTGACAGATTTATTTTCCAACTCAGCAAGTTCTAGGCTCTTCCTATTTCCCCTAAGTGTCCCTGACAGACAGATTGACTGTTCTTTTTGTGAGTTCTTCTCTCTTTAGAGTCCAAAGGAGCCAGCTCTTGCCGAGTGTGTGCTCACTTACGTCACTATACGTGACTTTCACGGAGGGTTCTGACCCACACAGACCCCAGGCCTCCTTCTCAAGCCTGCTCTAGGAGTGCCTCGTTGCTTCCTCACTGCTTGGTCCTGGAGCCAGTGTGATACTCTTGGTTCTTACTGCAGCCACCTCTACCTTGTATACCATCTCAGTACTGCTGTGGGGTGAACAGTGAGGAACAGCAGTAAGTCCTTATTCATGAGTTTGCAGGTCAGCTGGCTTGGCTCCATGTGTCCTATTCCCTGGGCCCAGAAGCTGTTCAGGAGTCAGTGTCCCAACCAGGCCATGTCCTTCCCATGGAGGTGGCAGAGGATAGGAAGACAACCTCATTTTGTAACACATTTCAAGTCTCTTGGTTTCACATCTGCAAATAACCAGTTGATCAAAGCAAGTCACTAATCCAAAGCTGATGCCACAGAGCTTCTGTGAGATATAGCAAAGGGCATGAATACAAAGAAGAATTGAGAACTGAGATCACTGATTCAGTCTCAACCTCAGTATCTCTCCATCTACCCATCCATCCACCCATCCATCCACCCACTCGTCCATCCATCCATCCACTCGTCCATCCATCCATCCATCCGTCCATCCATCCATCCGTCCACCCACCCATCCACCCATCTCTCTAGTATGAAAATGGGTTTGGAAGGATGGTTCAGTTGGTAAAGTGCCCGCTGTGCAGGCATGAGGACCTAAGTTGATCACCAGTACCATGGAGGGGAAAGCCAGGTGTGGTAATATACCTGTCTTAGTGTTCTATTACTGTGACAAGACACCATGACCAAGGCGACTCTCTTTGTTTGGAGAGGGGGAGTGGTTCTTGACAGGGTTTCTTTGTGTAGCCCTGTCTGTCCTGGAACTTGCTATGTAGATCAGGCTGGCCTCTAACTCAGAGGTCTTCCTGCCTCTCTCTGCCTCCCAAGTGCTGGGAGTTAAGGTGTGAACCACCACCATCCGGCTCAAGGTGACTCTTTTTTTTTTTTTTTTTTTTTAAGGTTTATTTATTTATTATGTATGCAGCAAGCCAGAAGAGGGCACCAGATCTCATTATAGATGGTTGTGAGCCACCATGTGGTTGCTGGGAATTGAACCCAGGGCCTCTGGAAGAGCAGTCAATGCTCTTAACCTCTGAGCCATCTCTCCAGCCCTCAAGGTGACTCTTATAAAGGAAAACATTTAATTGGGTCTTGCTTACAGTTTCAGAGGCTTAGTCCATTATCACCATGGTGGAGAGCATGGTGGCAAGAAGGTAGGCATGGTGCTGCAGAAGAAGCTAAGAGCTTTACATCCTGATCTTGGGGGGGGGGCAGGTACTGGGTCTGGCATATACATTTGAAACCCCAGTGACACACTTCCTCCAACAAAGCCATGTCTATTCCAACAAGGCCACACCTCCTCCTACTTGTAATCCTTCTCTAACAGTCACCAACTAGGAACTAAGTATGCACGCATATGGGCCTACGAGGGCCATTCTCGTTCAAGCCACCACAGCCTGTAATCCTAGCTCTGGGGAGACAAAGACGGGATCCCTCACCAGTCACCCAGCCTAGCCAAATCAGGACGTTTCTCAAAAATCAGGTAGAGACTGAAAATGACACCCGACATATACACACACACCCACATCTGCATGTGCACACGCGTGAATAAATGTGTGTATACACACAAAGTTCTGAAGACACATATATAGTGGCACTCAAATATTTACATGTATACACCCTAATTCAACATACCCCTGCACACAAAGTACATGCCTGTGTGTCTCCATCAAAGCGCAAGCCCACACACCTGTGAGGAAAGCATGCTTTAGTAGACTGACACTCCCAAGTTTTCCCACTTGCCTTCACTGTAGATTCCAGTGACAGCACATACCTGCTCCTGCTTGTCCTCTGCTCCTCTCTCTTGCTCAGCAGGTAAACTCACATGCCACCTAGGGAAACCAAAGCCACCAGATTTTCAGGTCTCTGGCGAGAGCTGCAGCTGGTCCATATGGTAGTTTTGTGCTGGGCACAAAAAGAAAGGGCATTGCTCCTCACAATCCTTCACCACCATCTACTGAAAAGTCACTATGATGCTTTTACTTCCACCTGCCAGAAATTACATCTGTATTTTTTGTGATTAGCACCCAAATGCACAAATGGGGCATCTTTTTTTATTTTTATTTTTTTTTTTATTTTGGTTTTTTTAGACAGGGTTTCTCTGTGTAGCCCTGGCTGTCCTGAAACTCTTTGTAGACCAAGCTGGCCTCGAACTCAGAGATCCACCTACCTCTGCCTCCTGAGTGCTGGAATTAAAGGCGTGAGCCACCACACCCAGCTAAAATGGAGTATCCTTAATCAGTGTAAAACTTGTACAGCCATACATGGCAACTCTGCCTGTCATCACCCCCTCTACACAGACACACACCAACACATAGCCACTGTCTCCCACTCAGAAGGTCCCCCTCCTGCCCACCCTGCCCACCCCTTTGTTCTGAGCCTGTGTTGCTGAGAGGCAAATAGCTCTTTGTCTCCCCCGACACCCCACCCCGACATGTGCTCACAGACCAGATGCAGGCAGGTGGGAAGAGGCGGGTGCAGGGTGTATACTGAGGCAGTGGGCGCCTAGCAGAGGCCACTGCTCCAGAGTGGCAGAGCCAGGGCACGCGGCTGCCCACCCACTACTCCCTGCTGGCAGTTTCCCAGCTCTCCCGCCAGCACCGCCATCCTCCCTCCCCCTTCCTGACCCAGTTTCCACATTCCAGAAATAGCTCTGGCAGGTGACTGGCAGGCGGTCAGCAGTGGCTCAACTGCCACTTGTACGTGCCCCTCCCCAGCCAGAGGACCCCTGGGAGGGGACCTGAGGGCCACGCTGTGACCCTGTGGTCTGCCTGGGATCCCGCTGCCTCTCCCCGTCATCCCTCTGAGAGGAAGCCAGAGCAGTGAAAGGCTCCCTCCCATCCCTTCCCTCGGCTCCCCCACCCCTTCCCTCCCTTCTGTTCCTCCCTCCACCCTCTGTCTCTCTTCCTTTCCCTCCTCTGAGCTCCCAGGTCTGGGCTTCCCCTCCTCCCTTCCACGTCTTCCCACTCCCTCTGAATCACATCGCACAGACTCAGAAGCCAAGACACCACACAGGGACCTCAGCAAGTGGCATGGGGGTGGGGGACTACTGTGTGGCACCCTGATCCTGCCAGTTACATTCTGTCTTTACATGTGAACACAGTGCAGGAGAGGGTGTACACACACACACACACACACACACACACACACACCCCTAGGCTTAGGGTCATTCTCTGCCCATACTGGAAGCTCTAGGCTGAGCTGGCTAAATTCCAGTGTAGAAAATATTCCTGCGTCCTGTCCGGAGGCGCAGAGCTCCTGTCTCAGTACTGCTGTGTCACTCTGAACAGGCACCTGTCCCTCCGGGGCCTCACGACGGTGATCTAGACCTTGGGTGTGAGGAACGGTCTTATCTGTAACCATCCAAGAAAGAAGCCGCTTCTTTCCCTCTCTTTTTGTCCCTTCTCCCATCCCTTAGAACTCTTCTGGTTTCTAGGATTCCTTTTCCTTCCCCTACACATATACATAGGAAGGGAGGTGAACAAAAGCCCTCAGTTTTAGCTGGGTGGTGGCGGTGTATACTTTTAATCCCAGCACTCCGGAGGCAGATGGATCTCTGTGAGTTCGAGGCCAGCCTGGTTTACAAAGCAAGTTCCAGGACAACCAGAACTATTACATAGAGAAACCTCATCTCGAAAAACCAAAACCAAAACAAACAAACAAACAAACAAAATCTCTCAGTCTTGTCTCCCAAGCCTAGTCTACTCTAATCTTTGGTTATTCCACTGCAGATCCCTGTCTGCTCAGCCCATCCAATCCCCAGACTGTCAGGCAAATATTCTGTGATTTGTGTGTCATTTCTGGTCCCTGGAGCTAAAGATTGAGATTTAATCTGAGTTAAGCAGATTAAATGTGCCACCATGAATTAATGATGTCTGCAATGGCCAGAGTAACACAAACCTGCCATTCCTGACTTAACCCAGTTATACACACACACACACACACACACACACACACACACACACACACACACCTCGGATTGGGGGTGGGGTGGGTGGTTCACAAAGCCGCTGCAGCCTAGAGGAAGTGTCATAGTCAAGGTCACTCAGCAAATAGGTCAAGGAGAAAAGTTTCTCAAAGCCTTGAGTTCTTCATTGTCATGTGGGATTAGGAAGGAAGCAACCCAAGGACTTGACACAGAGCAGGAGAATCATCTGGCAGCCAGAGCAGGATTACAGAGGCTGCCACACTGGTCAGGCAGGGGACAGTGGCCCCATCAGGGCCATAGGGTCAGAGGTGATAGGATTCAGGAGGCCTTCCCCGGAAGAATATCAACATTTCCTGCTGCTGAAATAGGCGTCTTTCCTGACTGGGTAGAAGGCAGGCTCTCTCCTTGGGTTCTACCGTGCCTCTGTCCCAGATATTCCTAGGTAACTGAGTGCCTACTATGAACTGAGTTCACAAATTATCACTCATCAAGGTCCGTCCACGTTGTCGTCATCCCCCACCCCCAACCCCCGCCCCAGACAGGGTTTCTCTGTATAGTTTTGGTTCCTGTCCTGGAGTTCACTCTGTAGATCAAGCTGGCTTCCAACTCACAGAGATCCACCTGGCTCTGCCTCCCAAGTGCTGGGATTAAAGGCGTGTGCCATTGCCGCCTGGCAATCCAGAGAAATACGATCCAGACCTGAGGACTGATGAGCAGGCCTCCAACCCAGAATTGAAACTTTTAGGCCAAACAAGAGAGGGGGCATCTGGTCACCCTAGAGGCAGAGCAGTGCATGAGTCTGCTTTCGATCACTGGGATCAACACCATGCCAAAATTAATTTAGGGAAGAGCAGGTTTATTTCATCTCACCCTTCCATGTCCCAGTCTGTCATTGTCATTGAGGGAGGTCAGGACAGGGATGCGCAGGAAGACTGTTTACTGGATTAATTCTCTCTGGCTTGCTCAGCTACCTTTCATGCATAACACAAGGAGCCCATTCTGGGCTTTTCACCCAGCACAGGGTTCCTAGCGACTCAGTGGCTTAGCAGTTCCTAGTCACTCCTCTTCCCCATTCCCTGCTCCGGCATTATTAGCTTAACACCCATGGGGAGGGGGAGGGGCTCGGCCAGGTTCAAGCTGGGGATTTTAAGTATGGATATAGTTTCAAAACTGAAGCTGGGTGTGACGGTGCACGCCTTTAGTCCCAGCACTTGGGAAGCAGGGGCAGGAGGATCTCTGTGAGTTAGAGGCCAGCCTGGTGTGGAACAGCCAAGGCTACATAGAGAGACCCTGTCTCTTAAAAAAAAATTTAAAGGGGGTGGGGGTGGGGAGAGCCCTCACTTCTCAAGCTGCCAGTTCTGCCAGGACAACAGCTATCTGGAAAGAACCCTTTACCAGAATCCCAGGCTCCCATAGGAGGATCTAAGGCCTGCCTGTCAGCCCCACACCTCAGGCCTGGGTCCAGCCAACTCCACTTTGCAGGGAGGCTAGCCTGACTTGGAGCCCCTGGGCAAGAACCCAGTCAGTACACAGACGATTCCCCCTACACACAGTAGATTCCCCCTACACACAGTACAGGACCCGAAAAGATCACCATCAGAAGGTCTCAGATTTGGTGACGTCCAAATTGAAGCTGCGCATGAGTTCTTTTCAATCCACTGAGCTGGAGTCAGAGGGTCAAAGACTCCATTGTGAAAGTTCTGTTTCTGCCTCATTTCTCTCCAGGGGACATATGGGACCCACAAGTCCCAAAGAGAAAAGGGGACTTGCCCAAGGTTATACACGGAGTGTGTTACTGAATGGGAAGAGTAGAGGCGAGATAAAGAGATCTCATGGTGGGTTGGCTTGGGGTGTCAGAACCCATCAAGAATTTACTTTGTTTTTTCCTAAGTCAAGCAAATGAAACGGAATAATAGCACGGTATAGCCAGCTACTGCTTTTAAAGTGCCTAGCACGGTGCCTGGCATCAAATGAGCTTGTTGCTCTCTTCATCCTTACGTCTTAATGCAAAAGGAAGACGTCTACTGGAAACAGCGTTACCTTTTCATTCCTCATTCCTCGTAGCCTTCCATAAGATCCAGATGAAGAAAGCAGGCAACCGGCTTGCCTCAGCCACCGGGCAAGATCTGCCTGTGCCTGGCAAGCTCTGTAAGCAGTGCCAGGTCTGCGGGAAGGGAGGGGACTCACGCAGGGAAGAAGCAGGAATGGGTTCCTACAGCATCGTGTGCTTTTGTCACATTTTACAGAGAATGACAGGCACGGAAAGGTTGATCGTCTCTCCTAAGGTCACACAGGTGTGATACTGAACTCATCCTTAGGATCCTGGGAAGCGCATCCGGGGATGGGAGGAGGGGCAACCAGAAACTGCGAGGCTGCTGAGTAGCTAGGACCTGCGTGCAGGACGAAAAGCCCACGGTGGGCTCCCTCCTCCGCCTCAGTTTCCCTACCCACAGCAAGGCGTCGCCGCCAGGGTGGCCCGCACGGACACCCGGCCGCTCCGTCTGCTGTACAAACTGTGCGT